GCGAATTCGCCGCGGTTGCCATTGTGTAAGTGCCAGCAAAAATAAGAAACAAAACAACAAACACAATTTCTCCTGTCAATTGCACAACAAAAATGATTGCTTTCAAAACAAAAACAGGCCATAAATAGCAGCAACACCTATGGATAAGCAATAATTATTAATAGAACTAAAATTAGGTTAGCGATATATGAATAGCCTAGAAAAATATCGATTAGCATCGATTGCTTTTGCCAGCTGCCAGACTTTTGAAAATTTCACGACCTTCCCGCTAATTAATTGCTCCGATTTGGCTGTGGGAGGGAATTGTAGCTATTTATTTATTTACTTGCTCGCCAGGTGCGCGTATTGTATTTTGGGAATTTCTCTGCACACAGAGCCAATTGTGTACGCATTCGTTTTACAAATACAAAATTATGAATGTTTACGAATGAAATGGAAACGAAAAAAACCCGTATGGATGTATGGTAAAAGAATTCTAACACACTCGCTCCATTCCCCCCATATAAATATACATTCGTATATTCGCATGACAACGCAGTTACATAAAGCGTATGGCGTATGCATATATACGTTGTACATGTACGTAAGTCTGTATGTCACAATAGCAGTCGCTCGTTTTCCACGTATACCGTATACGTGAATGCCATTCGGGCCGTATACATACACAGTTCGTTGCCGAAAGCAGCGAGTGTTGGTGAGACGAGCGAGTCCGTGAGCGAGTGTAACGCAGTGCGTGTGTGCGTTTGTGTGTATGCATTGGTGGGCCACAACACAATTCGGTGTGGGAAAGCAACAGCAACACCAACACACACGCACCTGGAGCGGGGGGTAAGGGGAAAATATCCTTAGCCTGGCAGCTTTCAACGGATTTATCTGTTTCATAGCGATATAACTTTGGACTTACCGACTCCCCGCTGACCGTGTAGTTGATGTTGGGCGATATCTCCAGTACCGATTCGGCGGCGCGGTTGCCGTTGTCCGCAAAACCCCAGGTATAGCCGAAGGGCGGCGGATTCTGGGCGGCGCACATTATTTAGCACAATGCGGGTTAAGAAAGAGAGAGAGGAGGGGGAAGCGGGGATATTTTTTTTTTTTTTTTGTTGGGTGGGAGGACGGAAGAGAAAAAAGCGCAAAATTTCCAAACGCAAATGTAATTGCACTTCTCGCTTGCTTGTGGTATATGTAGGTATGTATGTATGTATTCTAAAGCACGTACAAAATACTAGCCTCCTCTCTAGTAGTAGTAAGTGGAAATTGGTAATGGTATTTTTGCGGCTGTGTTCGAAGCCAAAATGTACACAACAAATTCAAATACGTTTGGGGGGGTCCAACAAGCACTTTTTCATCAATATTCGTTAGGTTTCTTCTTGTGATATATCGCACTGCGACGAAATCGAAATAAAATCACCGCATTCGCTCGCCGACGACGAGATGGGGGCGAACAACTTGTATATAGACCGAAAAGAAAGTCAAGTTGCTCTGGCTGCGGGCGCCATTTTTTTCCGTCCCTCGGTCTCAACGAAAAAAATTCACTTGGCGTTGGGGAACACACACTCCATTGATAACACACACTCGGTTTTGCGTTTTGCGTGTCGCCTGGGCGTGGGTGTGCGTGTCCGCCGATGTGTGTGCACGCGCCCCGTGTGACGATGTGCAGTTTTTGCAATTAAATTTATAAACAAAACACTCTTTTTCCTTCAATATAATTCACAGACACAGACACCACTGAACAAATTCCTTAGTGTTCGTGCTTCTCGTTCTCTGACGCCATCTTGTGTGTGCGCGGGCCAGGGTTGCCGAGGCACGGAAACAGTCTGCCATAGGCGGTGGGGTGTGGCAACGCTGGCAGGGCATGTGAACAGTGTGACCCAATCGCTTGGTATTTTTTAAAGTTCCCACAACGGTCATGCTTTGCATAACAATTCACATTTTCTGATTGAATCCTTATTTTATACCAAAACTTGTATTAGATATATAAAATATTGATATGTCACTATCGCCAGCCAGTGGCATTGGCCGCTTCTATGTCAAGTCGGCCAAAATCATACGTTTCGTTCGCCTGGGCTGTACCAACCGGCCTTTTTATCACATTGTCGTCATGGAGGTGTGTACTTTTTGGCTATTCAAATGGTTACAACTTTTAATTGGAAACTATATTTTGTTGTTTAGAGGCGTAAGAACCAGCACCAGCCTGTCATCGAGCAGGTGGGCTCCTTTGACCCTCTGCCCAACGATTACAACGAACGATTGGTGGCTTTGAACACGGAGAGAATCCGCTATTGGCTGGGCAAAGGTGCCCACTTGTCCACGCCGGCTGCAGAACTCCTGGGAATCGCCGGACTGTTGCCCATCCACCCGCGCACCTACATGACCGCCTGGCGGAACCGAAGAGCAGCTGCCGAAACGGAGGCATCGTCAGAAAAGGAGGAATCAACCGCTTAATGATAGCTGTTCCTCAATAAAAGCCTCCTTTTTGTTTTTACGTTTAACAAACGAAGATTTCTTCTGGTTCAGCGAACAGTGGTGCTCTTATTAACAACAAAATGAATACAGAATTAAAATTTATTGCAAAACGTAACCAATTCGAGGTGAGGTTGGTGACCAGGCCCTAAATCAAATGCATGGATAAGCGAGTAGCGGGCGGAGCATTGGCGTCCTAGTCGTGCTTCAGCACACCAGTGGCCTTCTTAATGCCATCATCAATGATCCTGTCGACAGCTGTTGGTGAAAATACATCCGCTTTTAGCACAATTATAATGAAGAGGTGAATTTACTCACATTCGTGATGTTTCAGGAAGTAGGGTAGCACCAGCTTTCTGTAGATGATGGTCGAACCATTCTGTTCCGTGGGCAGCATGCACCAGATGAGGAAAGCACACTACGGGTGGAGTATACCACTTGAAATAAAAACTTATGTGTAGGTAATTCAAAACTCACCTTCAGCAGCCAGTAGAAGGGAATCACCGCAGTTAGCACACTCGAAAAATATTCAATCACGGTGAAGATGCCAAACGTGACCCAGTAGATCAGCCACTTGGTGTCGTCCTGCTTTGTGCTGGACTCGATGGCATGGATGGAAGTGTATGCAGGGTAAAGAACCCCAATGATGTTGCACAGTAGCTGGATGCCCCAGCCAAAGATCAGATAGAGCGCGCAGAGACCAACAGCACCTGTGAATAATATACAATACCTTAATAGTAAACAGTTTCAAGTGACTGCTGGAACTCTACCGAAGCGCAGGAGGGCGTTCTCTACGAACAACTGGACTATTTTGCTCACGAATTCCTCGAATGCCATGTTCGCCGTTTAGTTGGTCAATTGATAGTGCCCTAGTGGCGCATTTTCCCTTTGGCTATATGCAGATCCAAGGCAGGAGCGGTTCTACAAGGCGCAGGGCGATCATAGGGATTTTAAACTTACACGCTTCAGCTACAAGACAAACTGTTCGAAGGACATAATGCCATGTACTTGTACGCCTTTCCAGGGCGCCCCTTCGTGGATCCCTGGGGTTCCTAAACCGCCCCATGCCGTTGGCTAATTATAAACCCTTAGCTGTTGTCAGTAGATGTCTCGACCTGCCTCTGATCCCGGCCAGTTGCATTTTGCCCACCCAGATGAGCGGACTACAGCCTGTTGTTTTGCCATAAATTTATGATGTCATTCATGCTCGATGGCGGCTAATTATATTTATACCCTACCAGAGTGTACATTATTTTAATTACAAGATTGTAAAAAGGTGTGTTCTGTTACAAAACACAAAAAACCACAGTTCATGTGAATTACTTTATCCAATTGGTTTGAATTCTCCATAAATGACTGTTCCTTAATATGCATAAGTTTGTTTACAGAAATATAGCCCACAAATGTTTAACAGCTAATGAGGCCAAATGTTTGAATGATGAATCAACGTCATGTTTGCAAGATTATTTAGACTTCGGCTTTTTAAAATGCCTCCTTTTGCCATTATGACCGCATTCTCACCTGTACCGAGGTAAACCAGGGGAACTCTGACATTGCGCCTCGTTTCCTGTCGCTGTCTGATTAGCATAATATAATCCCAGAGCCACATCGATAACTCCGGCGAGCACCGAACGAACTTAAAGCTCTACCAACGCACACAGGTGAGTGAGTAGACTTGCTCCACGTGTGCCAACAGCGCCACGTCTCAATAATTCAGACCTTTTGACCCCGCCGAACTGGACTTTCTCCAGATCTAGAGAATGTGGCTATGGAATGCGCGAGATGTATTGCTCACCGCGTACTGAGAAAAATGTGTACTTTCGGTGAAGTAAACAAAGAAAAGCACAAAACATGAAACTTTGTGGATAACAGACGCACACATCGGCAGCTGCCTACGTAGCCTTTTACATGCACACATCACATGCTCACAAAACTGAGGTGTATTGGTTAGAGGCGCTTGGTGATAAAACAGACACACTATTTAATTGGGCTCTGGCGTTTAAGTCGTCTGACTAATTCCCTAATTGGTCACCTGGCGGTGATTAAGCCCCCTCTATCCTGATTCAGCCACATAACATAGCTATATATAATAGGTTGCTATTTATAAGCATCCCGAAATATTCCACTGCATCTCTAGGCGAATCTCACTGGTTACGCAGTCAACTCGTAGGAGGTCACATGGGGGTCTCTTTGGGGCGCTGGTTCAGCGAAGGACGTGCGATGACGTCGCCAAGATAACCCGCAACCCGCACTCACCACCGAAAATCTTGACCCTGTCAACGCCGGTTTTCTCCTCCAGGGAGTCGAAGACTTTGGTCCACGGCTTGGACGCATCCCGCAGTGATTGATTCACGTCCTGCTTGTAGCCGTCCAAGAACTGCTTCACCTGAGTTACCTGCGCGGCCATTTTGCACAAATTGTTTTTAAATATATCTAGTTGTCAATCAAAAATATACGACGCCGCCGACTTTCCAGATGCCAGTCGATAGTTATTTGCGCCAGTCGGGGCCAATCGTTCATCGTAGTCGGAAGGCGGTATTTCCCGAATTTATCGTCGCCTATCGATATGGACAGGTCATACTAACTGGCATTTTTTTTACTTTTAGTTGTTTTTTACAATAAATATTTCTTAAAGCCAAAAACATTCGTTGTGTCTAGCTATTTTTATTGATAATTCATTTAAAATATTTGTAGTAAAAGTTAAAAATGCAACAATGCACATAAAACAGAAACTAATAACAGTTGACTAGTATTCCAAGGTACAGTGATAGGATAATTTAAAAATAACATTTTTATTGTTTATTTAAAGTCATTTCATTAGACTTACAGGTATCTAGCGGCCTCCAAGACTGGACTTTTCAGTTTTTGTGCAGGGGGATAACATAACGATCGCGCAGATAAAGCAACTTTTCAAAAAACACAAACGTCAATGTGGTGTGAGGAGCACTACGAAAGTAAATGGGCCAAAAGCCCTTGTACATCCCATGGAATCCTTCGGTTTTCAAGATCCTAGTGAAGCAGTCCACCAGGCCTTTGTACATGAGTCCACGGCCCTTTTCATCCACTGGCTGGTTGTACATCCGAGTGGTGACCACGTCAAGTGGTGAATTTGCCACCGCCACAAGGGTGCCCGACGTTAGGCCGGCACAGAAAGAGAGGAGAACCGGATGGGTGACCCATCCTTGATCCTTAAGAAATGCCTTGGCCTTGGGAAAGGTGCCGATCTGGACGCTGGAGGCAACAAACGTTCGGTTCAGGCTAGGTAAAGCAGCGCGCCAGAATCCTGAAATGCCATTGGTCCGGTATATGTGCAGCAGGGCATCCATCATCGAGGTGTGCTTGTGCTGAAAACCCACGGCAATGGACTTAACAGCCTGGGCATGCTGTTGGGCCTTTATCTATAATGGAGGCAGATCAGATCAAAAGTTCTAGGCGATGTAGTACTACTCACCATGTAGAAAGGACTTGCGAAGTAGGTGCCCGTACAGCCGCCCAGAGCTCCAAAGAACATGCCCCGGTAAAAGGATATGGAGCCATCCTCATTCTGCAAGTATCCCATCTCCAATGCGTTCGAATAAACACTTAGCCTATCATAAGGAAAAGGTATTTACAATGCATTTTGCTCAAATTAACTTTTTTCAACGGTAAACGTAACGACTTATTTAAAATGTTCATTACTTCACAATGGTAGATAAGATAAACATGCATTCGCATATCGCATTTCGGGGGACTTGAAGGGTAACACTTGCATCTAGCATTGCATAATTTCTTGGTCACTTGTAAATATTTTGTTAAAAACTCCCTCTAATATAAATAGTAGGAATAAAGTTAAATGATATAGATGTTAATGGTTGAAAATTAGTGAGAATGCTTTCATATGACAATGACCCTAGTACTTGCCTGACTGAGTTGAGGACAAATTGGTAACACAATGCCGGGGCCAGACCCTTCTCCAATGCAAGGAGTCCGTCGTTGAGGACTATCTGCAGCATGGCCTGGGCAAGATTTCTGTAGGGCTTCACATAGGTTCCTCGGGCCGCCAACTCTCCCTGCAGCTGCATCCGCGTCTTGACCACATCTATGGGATTGGTGAGCACCACCGCTCCCATGGCTGCCACCCCGCCCAGCACAAAATCAGACTTGGTCATCCTTTCACCTCAACTTTGGATATAGTTGATCTTACGTTATCATTTTGTTTACATAAATACATAGTTGTGGCCAGAGTTGTGAAACCACCGATTAATACATTTATCGAATTAGTACTCCCATATCAAAACTTAAGTGCTCACATTGCTGCTTTGGAGGTTAATTAACTTAATTTGCCTGATTTATTTGGTTTTTAATTTAATATAGTACAATATATTATATAATTATTTGTGAAATTCATTTCATATCAATTTTTATCGATAGTATCGATAGAATGGATTCTCAAGAATGTTCTTGCCTCGCGTTTAGACAACAATTAATTATATTTACATGTGTACATGTTTAAAAATTATTTAAATTTCTATTTCATTACTTACCCTCTCCATTGGCTCAGTTTTAGGATGGGAATTTAGGCTGCACGATTTATCATGTTTCTTGCAAATACAGATCTAGATTCGTATTATTTTTAATGATATTCTGCAACAAGGGTGTCTCGAATATATGTACATAACTACCTAGTATAAACGAATGAAAACAAAAGGTCATAATACGCCAATGCTTTTAAGCGTTTCAAATAATTTGCGTTAGTAGTGAAGATTGTACTTTTCCCTAACGGCAACTAGTTCGTCAAAGAACAAAAGCACCAAGGTGGAATATGGAGCACTTCTCAGATAAATGGGCCAAAAGCCCTTGTACAACCCATATAACCCCTCCGATCTAAAGATCTTAAGCACACAGTCCGACCAGCTCCTGTAATAAATGCCCCGACCTTGGGCATCAACTCCCTGATTGTAAAGACGAGTGGTAATCACATCCAATGGAGTGATTACCAGCGACACAAATGACCCAGCGGCTAGGCCAGAGCAAAAGGACAGGATTGTGGGATGAGCTACCACTCCGTTTTCCTTCAAAAGACTCTTAGCTTGGCCAAAAACTGCGATTTGAACGGCAGAGGCAACAGTGGCGCGGTTGACATTGGCCAAAGATCCTCGCCAGAGTCCAAAGACGCCATTCTTCCGGTATATCTTCCTAATCGCATCACTCATCGAGGCGTGCTGATGCTGATAACCAACGGCGATCTGCTTGGCTGCCTGTGCCTGAAGTTGCGTCTTGATCTGAAATGGAAACGTAGCTATCAGCAGTCTTATCTTATCTGAGCTAGACATTGTCAAATGTTTGCCAAAGCAGACACCTCCAATGTTTGATTTACATAATCGCTTACCAGGAAGAAGGGGCTGGCACAATAGGAGCCCACAACGCCGCCCAAGGCGCCCCAGAACAAGCCCTTTGGAAAGGAGATCTCGCCTTTGCTGTTGTGGACCCAACCCTTCTCTACTGCATGGGTGTATATACTCAATCTGTGGATAGAAAACATATGTATATTTTTGTAAACTCTGTTGGATTACAACTGTTACCTACCGACACGAGTTTATTACAAACTGGAAGCATAAGGCAGGAGCCAATCCTTTCTGCAGGCCGAGAATTCCATCGTTTTTGGCCACAGTCACAAAAGCCTGGAAAACACTCTTGTATGGCTGAGCATAAGATCCTCGGGCGGCCAGCTCTCCCTGAAGCTGGATGCGAGTTTTGATCACCTCCACGGGATTGGTAAAGACACAAGCTCCCATGGCAGCCACGCCACCCAGCACAAAATCCGATGTAGCCATCAATGAAACGTCCGTTCTGTATCACAGCCTAGTGATCACTAACGCTATACTTGCGATAAGCAGCTGCTTAAGACTTGAAAACAATATGCGTTAAAATGTAACAGCCTAACTGGTTTATTTCATAAAAGTATTGCACGGTTAATGGCTACAAGAACAACTCTTAAATTAGATTACTGAAGGCACAAGTTGGTTCTGGGGCTTTGCTAATCTAAGAGATTGGAACTAGGACTTTTAGCTACTCGCTACAAGCTTAAGCCAGATTTAGACAAACAAAAGTTGCATATAAATTTGGTTCATCTGAACTTGACTTAAAAATAAAAAACAAAGTGTATATTTGCTGGTATTAGAAAAGATTTGAACAAGTTTGTACTTAAATTATGCTACCTAGCCAGTGTTCTTTGGGGTCATTTATTACTATACTTTGTGCGTACGGCGATGAGCTCGTCAAAGAAGAGCAGTACGAGTGTTGAGTGGGGGGCAATGCGCAGGTAGTTGGCCCAGAAGCCCTTGTACATACCATAGACGCCCTCCGATCGCAGGATTTTCACAAAGCAGTCAAGCCAGCCACGATAAAGAAGACCACGTCCCTCCGCGTCCACGCCCTGGTTGTACAGACGCGTGGTAATTACATCTGGCGGCGTTATGGCCACCGACATAATGGATCCCGCTATCAAGCCAGCGGAAAAGGAGTTCAAAGTAGGCTGCGTCACCAGATCGTACTCCACCAACAGGGCTTTGGTTTTGCCAAAAGTGGCTATCTGGGCACCTGATCCCAAAGCCGCCCTGGGCAATGCGGCCACAGATCCTCTCCAGAGGCCTCGTACTCCATTCTTGGAGTAGATCTGACGCAGGGCATCGCTCATGGAAGTGTGGGCATGTTGGTAGCCTACTGCGATTTGCTTGGCAGCTTGTGACTGCAGCTGAGTTTTGATCTGCATGCAAAAGAAAGGACCATAAAAATTGATTTAGTAATATTGTACAAAATAGAACAAATTCGAAATTCAGGATCCAATAAAAAAAATCTACTGTGCTAAGCAAATTATCTTAATCTGTGCAACCAATAAAATATACTTGTGAATTGAATGTGATATGAAAACAATAAGTTAATGTTTACAATACTAATTAAGTTATTTAGCATAGGTTTTTTCCGCTTATAGATCTGAAAAATGTCTTAATAGAAATTAGCTAATAATAACTGAGTTATGTCATAAAGTAATAAGCTATGCCAAACCATAGACAGGCAAAGAAAATGCAATATTTAGAAGTATTTCTTTCTGCATGGATTTCTTGAAATAGTAAAATGTAGATACTGATAGACAGTTGCCAATAGAGGCTCTTATCTGTGGAAGGTCCATAATGCTGATGAGCACGCGGCTCATTTAGATAAGCTATATGTTTATGTAACCTCCCAAAACATCCCCACAATTGGCGTACCAAGAAAAATGGACTGGAGCAGTAGCAGCCGACGACGCCGCCGATGGCTCCCCAAATGAGTCCCAGCCCATAGGACACCTCGCCAGTCCGGTTGTGCATCCACCGCCTCTCCATTGCCTCCGAATAAATGCTGAGTCTGGCGAATGCAAATTCGAGTTAATGATTAATAAATATAATGTATAGGTACTGTGTAATCCCCACCGGAAGGAATTGATGATGAACTGAAAGTACAACGCCGGTGCGAGGCCCTTTTGGAGGCCCAGCATGCCATCGTTTTTGGCCACCGTGACGAAGGCATGGACAATTCCTTTGTAGGGCTCCACATACGTTCCCCGCGCCGCCAACTCGCCCTGCAGCTGGATCCGAGTCTTGATCACCTCGATCGGATTGGTGAAGAAGGTGGCGCCCACGGAGGCTAGGCCGCCCAGAACGAAATCCGATGTAGCCATGTAATCACAAGTTTCGTTGAGGATAGTAGTTGACTAGAAACTGTTGTGCCGCCTGCTGCGGGATCTCGGTGGCTCTAGGAAGCCGCACGTTGCGTATGTGCCGTGTATTTCATAATTTTCTGCCGCGATTAGCTGGCACTAATGTGCTCTCCTCGCCCGTTATACAAATATAATATAAATTTGGCGAGCAATATAACTTAGATGCAGTGGAGTTGCCACACTGTCGCGAAATTAAAACAGTGTTATTCTGCTTTACTTTAAAATGCTTGTTGTAAAATAAATAATGTTGGATCGTAGATTTAAAATTCAGGGCAAATATGTTTCAGAACATTAGTAACGGTTAGTAACGGTACGGCGAAGAAATCACTGTGATTTAAGGTTGACCGGATCCGGCAACTCTATTTTTTTCTAGATGTATTGTTAGCCCGAATCCCGTCAAAACATTAATTAAATTGATTTTCATGTCAATACAAATACACTCACTGAGCCAAAACGTTTTTGATTATTATATTTATCTGATTGAATTTTAGAGGAATACTACATATTTGAAGTAATCACGATCATTAAATACGTATTAATTTAGTTCTCTTGTTTAAGAGCATCTCTAATTGGCGGGAAACGGACCAGGCCGGCAGCACAGCTCGCTCTCTTTCCTTTCGAGCTGTCAAAGCGCCGAAGACGTGTGTGCGTGTTATTTTCAGCTGCATTTGTTTAAAAAAGTGGAATAACATTTAACAAAACCATGACTTCTCATCCGGTTTTCATAGACCTGTCCCTGGACGAGCAGGTAGCGTAAAAGTGCTCAATTCATGCCATGTATTTGGGCGGCCCCTGGTCTGAATTGAGGTTATGTCTTCCTCTTGCTGCAAAACAAATCTAATATTTTTCGTGATTTATTAAAGGTGCAAGAGCTGCGCAAGTATTTCAAGAAGCTGGGAGCCGAAATCTCATCGGAGAAGTCCAATAAAGGTGTGGAGGATGATTTGCACAAGATTATCGGAGTCTGCGACGTTTGCTTTAAGGATGGTGAGCCCTCGCAGATTGACGGCATTCTGAACAGCATTGTTTCCATCATGATCACGGTGAGTAATACGGTATACAATATGAACATAATATTAATAATTCAATATTTTAGATACCCCTGGATCGTGGCGAGAACATTGTGCTGGCATACTGCGAGAAGATGACCAAGGCTCCCAATCTTCCACTTGGCAAGGTGTGCCTCCAGTCGTTGTGGCGTCTGTTCAACAATCTGGACACCGCTTCTCCCTTGCGCTACCATGTGTACTACCACCTCGTCCAGGTGGCCAAGCAGTGCGAACAGGTGCTGGAGGTCTTCACCGGTGTGGATCAGCTTAAGTCCCAGTTTGCCAACTGCCCACCTTCGTCGGAACAAATGCAGAAGCTGTATCGCCTTCTGCACGACGTGACCAAGGACACCAACCTGGAGCTGTCTTCCAAGGTTATGATCGAGCTGCTGGGCACCTACACGGCTGACAATGCTTGTGTGGCCCGTGAGGATGCCATGAAGTGCATTGTGACTGCCTTGGCCGACCCCAATACATTCCTGCTGGATCCTCTGCTGGCGCTAAAGCCTGTGCGCTTTTTGGAGGGCGACCTCATCCACGACCTGCTGTCCATCTTCGTGTCGGAGAAGCTGCCGGCGTACGTGCAGTTCTACGAGGATCACAGGGAGTTCGTGAACTCGCAGGGATTAAACCATGAGCAGAACATGAAGAAGATGCGTCTGCTGACCTTCATGCAGCTGGCAGAGAGCAGCCCGGAGATGACATTCGAGACGCTAACCAAGGAGCTCCAGATCAACGAAGACGAGGTTGAGCCCTTCGTCATCGAGGTGTTGAAAACAAAGCTGGTACGCGCACGTCTAGATCAGGCCAACCACAAGGTCCACATTACATCAACAATGCACCGAACCTTCGGAGCACCGCAATGGGAGCAGCTCCGCGATCTGCTGCAGGCATGGAAGGAGAACCTCAGCACAGTGCGCGAGGGGCTAACGAGCGTCTCATCGGCGCAATTGGACCTGGCTCGCTCCCAGAAGCTGATACACTAGGCGCACCACTTCCGAAAACTGCACTGATGATGAACAAATGCTAGCCTCGGGGCAATGAAGTTACGACCTAAATTATTTTCAAGAATGCGAGGGCTTGATAACTTGAATAAATTTATAAGTAAAATCGGTAGCGAACAAGTGTTTTGATAAATGCGAGGAATACTTTAATAGCTTACAATTAAGTTGTAGTGTTTTTAAAGGCATTTAACGGTTTTCACAAAATCCTTTTCAAGAACTAAAGCTAAAAGAATAAACATTAGATGTACTGATAAATAAATTCGTTAAAAATACTAAGTATTGGTATCTTTCAGAAGTAAATTCATAAAATTTGTTCGGTTTTTTTGTGAATATTAAAATAACTACGTTTTCATGTAAGTTGGAACTTTTACCTTACTTAATGAAGAAGTATTATGTCTTAAAAGTGAAGTCAAAATATTTCTTAATCAATGTAATAAAAGTGTCTAAGGAAAGAAAACCGAAAAATGGCCTATTCGAGTATTTAAGTACATTTTCCTGTTGATCAATTAAAGCTCCTCGTGGACGTTTGAATGCTTACGATCCTTTTCCTTGGGGAATCCCCAGAAGTATGATGGAAAACCGTGCACATCTCGTTCTCTCTTTACGAATGCCGAGTAGGAGGAGATACAGTTGCCGATAAAGTGGTTTGACTGTCCGAGAATGGCCAAGTCCAGGTAAGGATCATCCTCTGGTAGCTTGTGCACACTGATGCCCATGCGACTGAGGGCCGTGTTAAGTTCGCCAATCATGTGATTGGAGTCTGATGCCACAAAAACTGATTTTATTTCATTGTCCGGCTGCGTCTGTCGCACGTTCTTAATGGTTCTTTTTAACTGGCGGATGATCGCCTCCTTGGAGGGCATGCAGAGCTCTGGGTAGAGTGCACCTCGTTCATTTTTATAGCCCAAGCACTGCGGCGAGGCAAACAGATGCTGGCTATCCTTGACGTGCTCACAAGCTCGTACCCAATCGATGCCGTTGCGCAGATGAATGCCTAAAAAGGCACCCCGTGGCAACTGCTCGCGGATGAAATCCTTAGATGCGTCCCTATACCTTTGACTCCACTGCAAGTATCGCTGCAGTTTGCAGTTCTCTAACTGAACAGGAAAACTAGCCGGAGCTCCAGTGAATGCGAGTACGGGATATGAATCTGCAGGATATTTGGCCTGCCACTTGGCAGCTTCGTTGCTATGGTGTACATCAAAATGCAGCGGCGCATAGAACTCTGACCTCACAAAGTCTATGTGAAAAGTGTCCCAAAAGGGACCGAAGGGATTACCATCCTTGGCGTGGCAATTGGGCTTGTCTGGATCGTTCTTCTCTTGCTGAAGGCTATATCGCTCCTTGTAGCAAAAGGACACTCGCTCCGATTCGGGCCAAATGTCGTCGGCCAGGTGCCACATGAAATCTGCCATGGTGATGACGCGATGGTATTCCTTTAGGGGCTCTACTTCAAAGTATGTGTTGAACGGCACCTGCCGGGATCGCAGTTCGCCCCTGCGATACTCCACCCACGGCGGCAGGATCAGGGTGCGATTAAGCGCCTTGGCGAAGGCCAATGATCCCAGGAAGTGGTCGGCCTGGTTGCCAAAGCGTCCTTTGGAAAGCGCGGTTTAGTTGGTGTTCCTTGGCGATTTCAAGGTGAAACTTACCCATACAGGGGCAGTAGGTGAGGTAGCCGTTCGGATCGCCCCCTAATTGGGCGCATGCTGAGCTAATTAATAGCAAAATTAAGTTTACAAAGCGAAGCTTCATTTTAAGCCACTGCATTCTGCCGGCTTCGATTTTCTCTGACAAGGTGGCACCTCTGAAATTAGGGTGGTTCTATTTGCAAGAATACAAAATGTTTAAAATTCGTTTGTTTATGATTTGATAATGAAAATATAAATTGCGTACTTTAAATATATATTTTAAAAATTTGCTAAATGTTTGTGAATGTATTTCTTAATTTTATTGTGAAACTTCCTACTGTGGGCGAAAAAGCTCAAATCTGGCAACCCACTTTTTTCTAATCATATGTTATTGTTTACTCTAGACTTCAGCCAAAATTTAACAAAAATAATTATGTATAGCCTGTAAGTATTTATCTGGTAGAAGTTGTTGTATTAATAAACCTTAATGCTATCCAAAGTAAGGAGTTGCTGCGGGCTCTTAAAAGTCGAACGAGACCAGCTCTCATTTGCCGCCGCAACTTTACGGACGAAACTCAAAAGCCGGAAACTACATTTAAATGGCGAAAACCGATTGGCCAGCACACAGGAATCAATATATATAATCACGGACTGCGCCAGAAGGTACCCTTAATTCTACGCAATCCCCAAATGGCCACATGGTACACCTGCGGACCCACAGTTTATGACTCCGCGCACCTTGGTCATGCCAGCACCTACGTCAAGGTAGACATCCTGCAGCGCATTCTTCGCGATTACTTTAAAATCAATCTGGTGACAGCCATGAACATCACGGATGTGGACGATAAGATCATAAAGCGGGCTCAGCTCGCTGGACTTGACTGGCAGAAGATGGCGCGAGCTTATGAAGCAGAATTCCGTCAGGACATGTTGCGTCTCAATGTTCAGCCGGCTGATGTGCGCAGTCATGTGACCACCACCATGCCTGTTATTATTCAGTTCATCCAGCAGCTGATAGACGAAAAGCAGGCTTACGTTACCCCGGATAACTCCGTTTACTTTGATGTCTCCAAAAGCCAGAACTATGGAAAGCTACAAAACATAGGTCTAAGCGAGGAGAAATTGGAGCGAGGATCCATCAAGCGGAACAGTGCCGACTTTGCCCTGTGGAAGGCGCGTAAAAGTAGCGGTGAGCCCACCTGGGCTGCACCTTGGGGTGGCGAGGGTCGCCCCGGTTGGCACATCGAATGCAGTGCCATTGCAGGTCTTTTCTTTGGTCGCCAGTTGGATTTTCATGCCGGCGGCTTGGACTTGCGTTTTCCGCACCACGAAAACGAGGAAGCGCAGTGCTGTGCACGATATAAAACTGAGCAGTGGGTAAACTACTGGTTGCACACCGGACAACTCCATATGGTTGGAGATCATCAGAAGATGTCAAAGTCCCTAGGCAACACGATCTCAGTGTCGGAACTGCTTAAAAAGTACACCGCCGACGAGTTTCGTATGGCCTGCCTGCTGTCCAATTACCGCAATGCCATGCCTTATAGCGATCAGTTGATGCTGACGGCACGCCAGACCCTGCAGCGGTTCAAAAACTTTCAGGCAGATCTGAGTGCCTATACACAATTCCTAAAGCCCATCCACTTATTGGATGAGGGTGCGTTAAAGGCCCAACTGACTCATACAGTAACCGAATTGGATAATTGCCTTCGAGATGACTTTGATACCGCCAGAGCTATCAGCGTGCTAATGGATCAGATGAGCAGCATAAGTCGCTGCATAAATGAGCAGCAAGTGGACGCGCAGGAAGAGCCAGCCTACTGCATTGATCTGCTGCTTGCAGCTGGGAATTTCATAAACCGTGTCATTGTCACGTTTGGACTATCGGAGTTGCAAGATAGGGAATCGTCGCAGGAAAAGGTTTCCTTCTCGGATCATGGCATTGATCCCTCTTTGCTTGTGAATGATGTGATAAACGTTCGAGGGAGAATGCGGGAAAGTGCCACCTCCGGAGATGTTAAGAACCAACAGCTTTTAGCCGCCTGTGATGAACTGAGGAACCTGCTCCAACAGCACGGTATACAGGTCCGCGACCATAAGCAGGGTAGCTCCTGGGTGTTTGCCGTGTCCTGCGAAAAGCCAGATAATAAGAGCAAAAGCTCAGCCGAATAAAAGTTTATATATTCTTTGGATCGTTACTACATAAATGCATCTCTCATGCGTTGTCGGAAGGGTTGGTCGGGCGCCACGGCGTGCTCCGTCTTGTAAAGGTCTTTAGTGATGAGGTAGTCTCGCACCAGCTTAAAGAAGGCCCCCATGCTGGTGAAGGCGACGAAGCTGATGGAGAGGACAAAGTGCCACTCGACACTTTCTGCGCTTAGTGACCCTATCTCTACTAGCAGCACGGCAGCCTGAAGAATGGCCAATGTGGAATAAATTATGGTGGGATTGTGAAAGAGTTTCTGAAAAAAAATATTTATAAACTAGGGTTGGGTATATCAAAACAAAAATCCCAGTTCTAAAATACTCACATAAAATCGAGCGTGACTGGCGTTTCCCGGAGTGGCCACAGTTACCATACCTTGACTTCTGTACAGGCCCCCGTTGTGCTTTACCACGGTGCCGTGGTTGTAGGAGGAGTACTTCGACCAGGTGAGGGCACTGGCGGCTACTATTAACTGCGAAGGCGCTGGCTCACGGTCTATGCGCTGCCAGCAGCCCAAATGTAAAGTAGCCCGATGTAATGTATCACTATACTTGGCAGGATACAGGAAAACGGCGCATAGACTGAAAGCGCCTAGGCAAACGATGATGCAGTGCTGGGCAGCTCGAAGCACATTGTATTGGACACTGACGGCCAGACAACAGGGCACCAGGCCAGAGTAGTATGCATTTACCATGGAGGTGAAAATGAGCTGCTTGAAACGCTTGTTGAAGTCATGTCGGAGTGTCTCCACTTCGTCTCTTATGCTGACCGGATTGGTGGTGCAGCTGTGAACCGGTAGGTCGTTGATATACACGCCCGGCAGCTCAAATCTGGTGCGCAGGAAGGGCTCCAGCTGGAAGCCAAAGATCAGCAGGTAGATGATCACACTATAAAAGCAAATGTAAGAATATCTTTTGACATAATATACTTCCCATTCTTACGGATACGACAGGAAGAGAAGAAGTATATAGGTGTGCTGCTGGTAAAGTTTCATGGCGCAGAAGCCCAAGGATAGTTGCACAAGGCCCCCAAATCCGTACTTGATTCCCAGTCGGATAAGATGCCGGCTCTTCTCAGTTCCCTTCCTGATCTTCACCAGCAGCAAACAGTAAATCAGTCTTCGCGTATTGAGTATGAGCAGGAGATAGCGAAGATAAGGATCGATCAGCTCGATGTTCTGGGTGCATAGATAGTTAATAGATTAGTGTCCTTCATGATTAAGTTGGGGAACCTCTCCAAACCCACCACCATGTGTCTGGTGTGCGCCTGTGGCAGCCACCAGTTGGTTCTGTAGATGTTGATGAACTGAACGATGGCCGAGCCCATGGTAAAAGCGCACATGATGAGTTCGCTGAGCCACTCGGATGTGGTGGCGTGCTCCGGGAAGGGAATGTGCTTGGGCATTGCTGTGGCCGGCGTCTGGGATTGGCCCTGTTTACGAGCCAGCAGGTGGGCAAAGGAATCGTGTGTTTCGCTGGAGCTGCTGCCATCACTACTGCGTTCGTCGTAGGTCATATCGATTGGTTTAATCGCTTGTACCGGGAGCTACATTTAAATAAATTCAAGCGATAATGTTTTTGTGCGGGTGGAGGACCTAACTTTGCAACATTTACAGCACTTTTTCTGCATCAAAAGCAGTGTTGAACACCGTAGAATGTTTTGCGTTCATGAGACATAGGCGACTCTGCAATATTTGTAGCAGGTAATAAAAATACCAAATTTGATATATTTTATTAATTTTCAGATAAGTGGGCAACTTAAAAATGTAATATAGTAAACAAATCTGCCATAAACCTCTTCTGATTTAGCACTACGCCCATGACAGCAGCTGACTACACTTTGAACGTTAATCAACATTAAACCGGCTGCTTGTTTATCAGCTGTTTATTGGTTTTGTAACTGCTCCACTAAATAATCAAAAGTATACATTAAAGTACTCCAATACATCCGAAAATGATGCGCTACGAGGGTAACGAAAGGCTGGCCGATGAGACAGCGTGCGCGGGAGTGCGTGCGGATCTGAAGATGTGCCTCCTAGAGAGCGACTGCTGCAAAATGGGCAAGACGCCGCGCCAGTGCCTCCAGGACAACAACGTTCCATCTGAGTGCCAGGTGCTCCGCAACACCTTCTATGAGTGCAAACGCTCCCTGGTGGGTGTCTATAAAATATCCATTGTTCCCCAAGCTATTACATATCACCCTTCTTTCAGTTGGACAACCGACAGCGCTTTCGAGGTCGCAAAGGCTACTGAGGTTTAAACTTAAATTATATTATAAGCGCCTAAAATATAAAAAATTATACACATGATCGGGCTTAGTCCATTAATTGCGACGTCGACGGACGCGAGAGATACGCCAGGCATTGGGCTCCTCGTACTTGTTGTACAGCGGCTCCAGGCGCTGATTCTTCTTGAATTTGCTTAGCTTCGTGGGGTCCGAGAAGCGGAAGAATGACGGAGCAAACTCTACCAGCCATTTGGGATCGATTGTGGTAACCTCACGCATATACTCCTTGGTGGTCTGCACCAGCTCGTGATAGATGACCCACTCTGGCTGGCGATTAAAAAGCGCACTCGACGGATGGATGTAAACCACCTGAGAATCGACGAGGGTACGATACCCCTCCTGCGGATCCTTTTTCGCTGCATTGCGGAAGAAACCGGAGCAGATCGCCTTCTGAATTCGCACAGAGTTTTTTCCAGCGGATACCACATCCAATTTATGCCTGTCCATGATTCCCAGCAGCTGCTTTCTCACATCCTGGCTGCGTTTCAGGGTTCGGATCTGTACGAAGTTTTCGTAGCACCAGGCATTTGAGAATTTGTTGTTCTTCCAACTGTTGTAAACGGCCAGCAGCGTCAGATGGTCACCTGTGGATAAAGGATCGTTAGTAATTGTTCCAGAAATAGCACTCGAAATTCCACTTTACGTATGATTGGAATAATGATTGACTTACCTTCCGCCTGATTGAATTTGGCCTTTTTCTGATCCGCCAGTGCCTGCTTGTCCTTTGGCCTGTAAAACACGTTCTGCACACTGAGCATCGATACTATAGTCAAAATCTCATCGGAGCACTGCAGAGCGACGGACATTATAAGCATCTTGGAGAGATTCGGCTCGAGGGGAAACTCGGCCATGCGTCTGCCCAGCCGAGTAAGCAGGCCTTCATCATCCAACGCTGAGAGGGAATGTAGTTGCTCGAGCGCCATTACCAGCGATTCCACAGGCGGAGCGTCCATAAAATCAAAGTGCAGCAGATCGTTTATACCCATTGTCTTCAGCTGCAATACTGTTGTGGCCAGATTGGTGCGCTGGATTTCCGGCACCGGAGTGGGCAGCATTTCATCTCGATACGCACGTTCCGTATAAAGACGGTAGGTTTTTCCTGGGCCAGTACGCCCGGCTCTTCCCGCTCTTTGCTTTGCTGCCGCTTGTGAAATGGGAGTAACCACCAGGGAGTCCATGCCCGTTTTCGAGTTGTACACCTTCTGTTTCACAAAACCAGGATCTACCACATAGAAAATGCCATCGATTGTAAGTGAAGTTTCAGCAATATTGGTGGCTATAACAACCTTTCGGCTACCAGCGGGCGCAGGATCAAATATACGCGTTTGCATTTCGGATGGCAATGCTGAATACACCGGCAGAATAATCAGCTCAGGGACATCCGGTCCCAAACTCTTCATTCGTTCGTACAGGATTTCGCAAGCCGTGTCGATTTCTTCCTGACCCGTAAGGAAGAGCAGAATGTCACCAGGAGGTTCTCGCAAATGGATTTGCATCACTGTAATCAGAGAGGCATCCAAATAATCCGTCTCTGGTTCCTTAGTATATAAAACCTCCACGGGAAAGGTTCTTCCGGGAATTGTGAAGATTGGCGCCTTGAAGAAGTACTGCGAGAATTTCACCGCGTCCAAGGTGGCTGATGTGACAATTAGCTTCAGTTCTGGTCGCTTTTGCACGGCTGTCTTGAGCAGGCCGAAGAGCACATCCGTATGGATCGTCCGTTCGTGAGCTTCATCCAACATAATGACCGAATAACTTTTTAACTCCGCCTCCATTAGGCACTCACGGAGCAACATACCATCAGTCATGTACTTAATTATGGTTTCCGGACTGGTGCAATCCTCGAAACGGATGGTGTAACCTACTTCCTGGCCTAACCTGCAACCGTACTCCTCCGCCACACGCTTGGCCACCGACATGGCAGCCACTCTTCTGGGTTGGGTGCAGCCAATTTTTCCTCTAGCAGTGAATCCACATTCGCCCAAATACTGGGTGATCTGTGTGGTTTTTCCTGAACCTGTTTCTCCAATCACAATAAGGATCTGATTGTCCGTGACCGCCTTGATCAGATCATCTCGCAGTTTGTATATGGGCAACGACTGACGCTGCTCCACTAGCGTCAGATCAGTCTTCTTACCGAATGAGGACTTTTTGCCGCCAATTACATGCTTTTTCCATTCTGGAACTTCAGCGGGAGCAGCACCCATTCCTCGCATGTTGGCCGCTAGGCTGCGGCTCTCTTCCTCAGGCAGTGGATCAATCCAATTCTTATTGAGGCTCGTAGGCACAGCTTCCATCTCTTGTTCGCGCTGCAGCATCTTCTGTTCGCGACGCTCCTTAGACAACGCCGATTGCATCATGGCAGCTTGAGCTAGGGAGCCATCGGGATTTTTTACAATTCTCACTGGAGACAGATCATGTAAGGCTCTACCGTGCCCGGAGAGGAAGGGGGGCTCCTCTTCCACAATCTCAATTTCGATATCGGCTTCGTCGTCTTCATCTTTCGGCAATAGGCCAGTTTCCTCGTCGAAATCAGGCATCTCACATCTGTCCAACACACCGGAACTAATCATCTGCTTGATTTCCCAGCGCTCGGGACTGGAGATCCTGGTCACACGTTTCCTGGACTCGTGCTCATCACCATCCAAACCATTACCTTGCAGATTCAGCATCGATGTGCTGCTGCTAAAGGGACCATCTGGATTTCGATCTCTTAGAGACTCCTCGTCCTCTGGAGCGTGTGACAGTGGATTGAGATCCTTCCCGGAGTCTTGGTCCACCTCTTTCATTGACAAGGAAACTTTTTGGCCAGTTATTGTCATCACTTTCACTTTAACAGTCTGATTCCGAGTGACTACCTCCGTAACATCTGTTACGCGTCCTTCTGCTCTTAGTTGTGAGATGTGTACTAAGCCTTCCCACCGTTTCCGCAGTCCAAAAAGCTGTACGAAGCAGCCAAAGGGTACGATATTAGCTACCTTGCCGGAGTAGATCTTTCCCGCCTCCGGATCATCGCTCATGGCGGCCGACGGTGGCGGCATCTTTTCACTGCGATCCTTCGATCGATCTCTCCTATCTCTACGATCTGTGGAACGAGATCGACTTCGTCTTCGGCGTTCATGGCGATCTCTTGAGCTTGATCTCCTGTGGCGTCGCTCTCTGTCTCGATCGCGATCCTCGCGGGACCTGCTTCTGCGCCGATTATCTCGGGATCTGCTTCGTCGACGTCGTTCTTTGTCACGCGACCTGCTTCTGCGGCGATCAGAGTGTCTATCCTCCCGCGATCTACTGCGTCGCTTTGTGTCTCGATCCCTACTTCTGCGCTTGTGGCGGTCCTTGGAACCGACTTCCTTAGGTGGTCTTACCACTGTGTTGCCCTCACCGGGGGCAAGCGCTTCCAGTTCCATCATAGCTGCATCCACATCGCTCATATCGGTTTTTTTGTGCGTTTCGGCATGCTTATCCGGTTTCACCTTCTCTTCGCCATCGCTCTCCTCCTTCTTGCTAAAGGTGTCATTGGGCAAAGCCAGGCCGGGGAACATTTTCAACAGTTGCGATTTCTTGTCTTCCTTCTTGTCGCCGCCAATTTTCTCCTGGCTATCGCCGCCAGGTTTACTGGGGCGCATAAGATTAATGATGCGCTGCAGGTTCTCGACCAGGGAGTCCGGAAATTCGGCGCCATTCTCAAGCAGAGCCTTGCGAAATGCATCGTATGTCCGATTTTTGTTTTCCAAATCGATGATAAACTCGGCCAGGTCCTTGTCGTTGATGCCCAAGTGATTGTCTAGCTCCGTGCAGATCTTCGAGACCAGCGAAAGGTACTCCAACTTCTGCAGCTCGTCCATGCCGTCAGAGAGTACTAATTCAGCTAAATTTTCCAAAATTTGTGGATATTTCAGAAAAATTTCCCGCTGCAACAAAACGCAATCAGCTGTTTCAGCACGCCGCGGTGTTGCCAAGTCCAAGAAAACCACTGAACGAGGTGGCAGCTCTAGCCCCTATCACTCGGTTTTTGACGCTCTGCTTATTTTTGTCGCGTTTTTGTTGTCAAAAGTATAAATAATCTCTATTTGAATCAAAGATACATCAGAATATGGCTTCGTTCTTCGACTGCTTCAATGATTTTCTGCAGAGCGGAGGCAATCTAGTGCAGAATGTGTCCCAGGAGCAGGGACAGAAAATCGCGGCCCAGGCACTGGACGGCGTCATAGAGCTAGTGCCGCCCACCATCCCCACACCCAGCGAGAGTGTAAGTAACATCCTAAACTGAAGAGTAACTGCTCCACATGTCCTTCATCAGCGATATTGGTTTCGTTGGCGTTTTGTTGTGAAATAGAATAAATACCAGCGCGGGGCCTGAGGTTCGGGGTAGTCCCGGAGATGCCAGATCGGCGTTTTATATACAGATGTGGCAACGCCACTTAGGGCACGCCATATTTTGCAGGAACGAAAATTCGCGTTGTGTACTGGCAAATACTAAAAAATCAATAAGAATTGCTGATAAAATTGTTTAAAATCAGTGTGAATCGCGAGTGACCTTTGATTGGACCGTAGGCTAAGGGGTTGATGCATTCGCAGCTGTTTCTTAACGTCACAAGCGCGACAACGACGTAGAAAAGAAGAAGAACATCAACTTCGGTTAGCCAGTTAAACGCATTATTAATTATTAACAATGAAGGAACTGGCAAATGCCAGCAAAAGTCAGTCGCAAGCCTCAGAGGTCAGAGGCTCGATTATAACCTACAGTCCCAGCAAATTTCTGACTCGCGTTGGAGCAGGCAGAACGACATACAGCACACATACACACACATCCGCAGCAACGTCGGCGCCGACGACCGCAACAAAAACAAACAATTCACCAATGGGCGGATCCAGTGCCACTTATTATGTGGTAAAGGCCGGCTCCCTGGGCAGCGCTGCATCCATGTCGGGCTCCATCAAAGTCAGTTCTCCACCAAAGGCGCCACCGATGATTAAGTCACCCGCCCTGGTCGTTACATCGCCCTGCACGCCAACAGAGAGTGTAATATTTAAACTAAAGGCACCATATCACCCACTAACCAGCACTGCATGCGCCCTAACATCCCCAACCAGATCAATCATCTCACTAATGTACCTGCTGGCCGGTATTAAACACTAATTATTGTTTTTATCCTTCAGTCCAGTACCATTTCAGCGCCTAGTGAATACTCATTTAGCGAGAAAATGGAGCACAGCTATATGCGAGATACGCCAGTTCGCAGCGATGTTCACAACGGCCTCACGCCCGCAAGGAACATCCTGGTCCGTCATCCCCCACAGTGTCCCAGTTGCCATACATATCCGCAGCAGGAGGAACTGTCTGAGATGCAGCAGGCACATGTGCCGCCCTACGATGAGATAGCCGCCAAGGAGGCAATGAATGAATGCGCTCGCATTGCAAAATACGTAAAGAACAACAATTCAGATGAACAAGATTGGGTGGCGCGCGTTAATAAGTGAGTTCTCGACCTTGGTCAATAGAAAAACTGTACCATTCAATATTTTCCACCACACAGATTTAATTGGACGCCCACGCAGGAGATGGTTTTCGAAAAAGTTTGCTCAATCCTGGACCAGGATCAGTTGGCACGCTTGGCCAACGACAAACGCCAGCACGAACCTATTCACCGTCGCATAAGCTCGGACAAATCCGCGGCCAGGTTTCGCAAACTTTTGGCCAGCGTGGCTTGGGAGTCACGCATTACGCAGTGGATTCATGCTCTGCTCATGGAGCACTTGTCTCCTTCGTATATGGCCTCCTATCTGGATATTATGCAGACGCTGAAGACCAAGTTGCCCACTTTAGTGGACAAGATGCTGTTTGGAAGGCCGTTGAATAATAGTCAAGAGCTACTGGCACCGGTGATGAAAAAACGCTGGGAACCAAATATCCTACACAAGGCTCGTCAGCTTACGCATAACGCCATCATGGTGGTGCTGCCCACAATGCCGACCAGTGGAACCACGTCAGACCGCATGCAGAAATGGTCCCAGTCATTGGGCACTATCACCCAGGTGGTTCAGATTTCTCTGCCGAATACAAGTATGTTTACTAATAGATTTACCTAGATTTGCTTATTTAACAATTTTACTTTTATAGACAACCGAATTGGCAATCAGAATCTAGACCAGGTGTCCGAAACCATTGTATCGCTCACACGCGTCAAAATCAACGAATTGCGCACAGACAACCCCAGCCGTGGCATCATACTTGTTGGATTTAATGCTGGTGCTGCCTTGGCTCTACAGGTTGCTCTTTCGGAGAGTGTTGCCTGTGTGGTGTGCTTGGGATTTGCTTACAACACAATGCGTGGGCCACGAGGAACCCCCGATGATCGCATGTTGGACATAAAAGCGCCGATACTATTTGTCATCGGTCAAAATTCGGCACGCACAAGTCAGGAAGAAATGGAAGGGTTGCGCGAACGAATGCAGTCCGAATCCTCGCTGGTGGTAGTGGGGAGTGCAGATGATGCACTGCGTGTTCCTAAGAGCAAGCGCCGAATAGAAGGCGTTACACAGTCCATGGTTGATTATATGGTTGTCGTAAGTTCAAAATGGGAACTATTTAATATAACAATAACTCTGTATTAATATATAATATAATTTGCAGGAGGAAGTCTTTGAGTTTGTGAACAGAACGCTAAGCAATCCACCTGGACCGCGCATGCCCACATCTTTAATGCATCAACAGGGCTACCAGCGACAGCAAAAGCAGTCAGGTCACATCCTGGCCGATGGAAACGCAAACAAAGCTGTTCAGCAGATGCGTAAACGAAAGATGGACGGTACTTTAGACGACTCAATGGGCCAGCCGTCCAAATCAAAGTTTGTCCCTCACAGTAAGTACCAGTATTCCAAATGTAGACCATTGAATCATTACAACCTTATCATCCTACCATCCATCCCGCATGTCAACTCACTAACCACTTAACCAAAACGTTCCCAATCAAAATTTATCCACCGACCAAGATCGCGTCCACAAGCCGAAGCCACCGCGCCTCATTGATCCGTTTGCTGTGAAGCGAAAGGGTAAAATCATTTCGGGTCTTCCTCTAGTGCCTCTTGTGGCTGTCTCCCCCGATTCAACTAACATTTTTACCCCCTCAGTTGGAAGACCCCGAACACGCCCCCTCCCCAATGTCGGTGGCTCGGCACGCTCTGTTAGACAAAAAGGTGCACCTCATCCAGACAAACCGAAACTGAGCAGTGAAGAACTAAACCAATCCATTGAATTCATACTAGATGATGCCCTGGACTATGAAGATGGCCAAACCACTGCAGTTGGAACATCAGGCGTACCAAAGGTGATAACTCCCGGTGTTTTGGGAAAGCAACTGCCGCCCGTTAATCTCGCAGCTGGCACCAAGATAAAGATGATCCCATCCAGCCAGTTTGTACAAATCAAATCGCTACCGACACAGGGCAAACTCATCAACTACACGTTAAACAAACCAAGTGCCGGGACAACCAGCACCGCCACCATAGGCAGCATTGTAAAGACCCTACCAGGCTCATCCGCTGGTGGCCAGCAGATCTTCACTCTAAAAACGCCGTCGGGACAAACGCAGCAGTTTGCAACAGCAGCCACATCCACAGGTGCAGTTGGCTCATCGACATCAACAGGAACGGGACAACAAAAGTACTCAGTGTTCAAGAACGCCAACGGTATGACCATGTTGCATCTTACCAAGAGCGTACCCACTACAGCTTCTGGCAGCGGCTCTGGGAATATGGACTTGTCCAACATAATCGATATGCCCATCGTTTTTGCCGACAACGAAGGCAACATCCCCGATCATCAACAGGCGGATAAGGATATTAAGCCAGGTACATAAAGTGGAATGGCTTTTAGTCTCAATTTTAATCAAATATTTTTCACAGCCCCCATTCGAAGTGCCAATAAGAGCCCGCTGATCATCAGTCAGAAAATCATAAAGGAGGCTAATAAACCCACAGGCATGGTTGGCAGTGGAAGCATTGGTGGTGTCAGCAAGACGGGAAATATTGTGCTTAACAAAGGCCTTCAGCAATTGCTAACCCCTTCAACCGGCGGAACACTTGCCACTCAGAACAAAGTTGTATATCTTAACCGGAGTACAATTAAACCAATGGCAAATATGGTGCCTGGTGCTCATCGTGTCCCAATAAGGATTGTGAGCAGCCCAAAGACAGGAGGAGCTGTGACGACTACAGCTTCCAGTAGTCCCATTATGGTTGATCCAGCCACAGGATCTCTGGTTACCAAGACCGTCAATGTGCAGGCAATCAAGTCTACTGGTTCTCTTTTGGCTCAAGGCACTATCCGTCAAGCGGGCAACGTGGGCAGCAAGAGCTACCCCCAGTTCCAGATGATCAACACCGCTCCGGGATCGTCCAAAACTGTTGCTGGAGACGGCAAGGCTTCTGTACGAAATATCTACTTTAAATCCGCAACTGTCCTCAAGCCACTGCAGATGCTGGGCAATCGTATACCGGGTGGCGCCGTTGTTTCGTCATCCGTTGCATCAACATCTTCCGCAGCTTCTGGCGTGCGACGGGTGGTCAACATTGGGCCCGTTTCCAAGGTGACGGCCACGTCGACAGCACCCTCTTCGACAGCTGCTACTTTTACTCAGAACAAAATGTAGAGATGGACAATGTTTTAATTTTGTGCCTGTTACATTTTAGTAATTTGATGATAGCTTTTGTAAATATGTTAAGCCATTAATTTAATAAGTGATTAAGGCGCCTTGAATTACCCTCTTCCTTTGATTGCAAGGATTATAATTTCGTTCAAATAAAGAACAATGTAAATCGACAAAAGGTTTACTTTATGTTCTCGGAATTCGGAGAACGCTTTGCTTGCAAACCCGTGCAAATTCCATGTCTGGGTTTTAAGTTACCATACCAATTGGCAAGACTTGATATGTGCTGGTCCTATGTGCAAACCTTAGGCTGCAGTGCGACGGAGCACAGGAAGCAGCAGCGGCGTGGGAAAAGTATTCAAATGCTTCTGCTCGAAGTGCGTTAGCCCAAGATTTCGATTTCTCTGGCTTTATGCAACCAACCACAAGTGTTCACACGGCTGCTCCGCGTTCAGTGCTCATCAAACTGTATTCTGATGACCGATATTTTGCTTAGAATTGCATTTTGCAGCTCGCTGTCGGCAGCTTGGAAAAAAGGCTACAGTTTCATTGTAGTTTCATGGGCAATTGCATGGATAATGCTACACATACTTGTGTCTATAGATGTATATACATATGTATATTTGGGTTTCTTGTTAAATCTCTCTTCAGTTTATGTAGTGCACGTTAACCCATTTAAAGCAAGGCTTTAAAAATACTTAATAATATATCTAAGCAGAACTTATTTAAAATCGTAAATAAATCGAAATCTCTAAATAAATCATATAATAATAAATATTTTATATATAATATTTTATTATTAAAGGCAGGCTTTAATTGATATTAATTGAACAAAACAATCAATTTATCATAAATAATAATCATATTTTTTTTATTTAAAATGTGCATATACTCGACCGTTTTATTGGCTTTAATGGGTTAAATTTTTTTACTTTTTGACTAGTCAGCAAATGTAAAGCGAAGCTCTCTCAAAAGCTAGAGAACATTTTCGCGGATCCCGATGCGGCTTGCGCAGAATTTCTGTTATACTTCTGATGTCTTATTTGCTTAAGTATCAGTCATATATTTTATTACATTTTATGTACAGTCCGAAATCGTGATTATGTATATAGCTCAGTGTTTTTGAGGCGTCAAGGGTAATACGGACATTTCGAACTTCTTGGAACTTCAGTAGCGCGACAAACGTGATCACGAGCAGATCGTCAAGGATTACAAAGTGCCAGCTAAAAGGGATCCAATTGGATGGTTCAAGCAGAGTGTTCAAGGATGATTCAGTGCAAATGAAAGGACCTAATTGGGAGCCCTAAAAGGACCTGATTAAATCATAGTGCATTTTTGGGTTTTTCTTTGAAACACAACTCATTCACATAACATTTGAAAAACTACAAAAAAGTTTTAACCCATTTCTTTTAAAATATTTTAACACAGTTTTCCAAACATGAGCGATAAAACATAACTTTATCTTTATTAACTTCACAAGCCACAAGTGAAAGCAAGCTGAGAAATTTTTTCCGACTTTTGAATACATTTTTCACGTGCCAAAAAATCTTGAATATTTCCCTGGTCATTTCCCAGCGGCTTACGCAATTGGAAAATTATGTGGAGAGTCAGTCGGGCGATTCCCAGACACAGTAAATCGCCAAATGCCAAGACCCAAATCGAATTTGATTTAAAAATGTCTTTAGCCGGCTGCTGGTTGCATTTGCAATGCAATTTCGGTTGCAGTCTCGCTTCGCTTACCACCTGCCGGGTGCATTTGGCCCATACCTTTTAATTTTTTTTTTTTCAATCTGGTCTTAATTTGTGGCAATTTGTCGGACCAGAAACCCACTGGGCCAGCCAGCAGCCAGCAGCCAGCATGTGCGTTTGTTTATGGCTTATTATTATTATTTTGTGTTTAGCCTAATTTTTGTGGCAAGATTGTTGCCCATTTGGTGGCCGTTGTTAACCAGGTTCACCTAATATTTATTGCTTTAAATTTCAAAATTAATATTCTTAGATTAGAATGAAAGCAAGAAATACAAATGTGCCTAATATCAAATTGCTATTAATTTCAGAATTCAAACTGAGAAGTATGCATTGTCAAATATAAAAACCAAAAACTCGTTCACTGTGCTGCTGAAACTGTAATCCATGGTAATAAAACTCGGCTTCCGAATCCTTTCATGAAACTCGTCGCGCTGCACACAACTTCTCCATTCCCTTTTGGGGAAAAATTTAACATCCTAGTAAAGTACACCGCAAATCCTTCACACAAATCCCCTGCACAAATACTAATAAGCGCGCTTATTCAAGCGAAAAGCTGTCCGAAAAGTGGGTGGAAGAGCTGCACTTTTGATTTCGCATACGCCTGGCAGAGGGAAAAACGAGAGTGGGTGGGCCCAGAAATCGGCCAAATGCTGATAGTTGCCCTTACAAATGCACCCCCATCCTCCCGCCAAGGTCCACCATTAAATAACGCTTAATAACATGCAAATGTTGTGAAAGTGCGCGGTGAAAAACGGGGGGAAAATGGCGAATGCCACTTCCATTGCAATCTGGCCGACTCCTTCCAACCCACTCCTACCCACTCCGCCCACTCTATCTCTGCTCCTCCATTTATTCAACGTGCGTCCTGGCACTTTCAATATTTTCCAGGGCAAGCACTCGCCGGCAGACGGAAAATCAGCAGGAGCAGCTTGATTACGCCAAAAATTGATTGCTTCAGAAATTCAGAAAAGGTGGCCGTGGAGGCGAAGAACTGAAATTCTGTTCTTTTTTACCCGAATTATTATCTGTCTGCCATTTTTTATTGCAGACTTCAGGTGCAGAAAGATGTCATTTTGGTGTGGCTTTAATTTCTTGTTAACTTTCAAACACGCCTTGGCTATTTAAATTATTTACTATTTTTGTAGCTCCTATTAAGTTACGATTTCCTGGGAATGGACTTCGCTACCGTGTATGAATTATATAGACGGAGAGATTTTTATTTTCCAACATTTTATTTAATTACAAAGATGCCGGGAATCGGCCACTACCTTGCAGTCACGTGATGAAAAGACCCAGGTGACACTGATCCGGATTTGGTAGTCGTACAAATCCTCCATTCCGAGTTAAGTTTCATTCTGCGTCTTTTGAATTCGAACAGTTCATGTGATGTGACGTAGTGGAACATACCTGGTGTTGCAAGCAACATGTAGGCATAAATGACTGTTTAAAGGTAGTTAACATTAACGATTGGTTAACAAAACAGAAACATCGAAACCAGTTAATTGTAATGTGTTTGGCAATCTCACGAAAAGACTGTACATCTACTCTCATTTACATTGCATATTTGTTGTACCTGCGGTCTATATTATAGTTTGTTTATAGCTCCCTTTGGTTGTAAAATAAAAACAAGTTCTCTTGGCGTTGTCCAGCTAAAACGACTTACTAAAAGTTTGGAAAGTTCCGTGAAACTGCCAGGAAACTGACTTTGCACTATGCCACTTTCTCACCTGTCGCCAACGCCACATTCCTTAAGCCCGATTCCATCTCTTGGCCGTCTTGGGGGAATTGAGCTGGCCAAAAGTTTGGCACGTTAAAGAAGCCACATCGGTGGCAGAAGGAAGCCCTCTGATCCACCACCCCCACCCGGCACCACCCCCTTCCGCGCCACAGGACAACCTTGAAGCATGTGCTATTTTTAGCAACAGAGCAGATCCCTCAGCCAGAGCAAGGATGCCGGTCCCCAAGGATTTGTTAGCCCGCTCCCCGGAATGGAATATTATGAATTACAATTTTCTCAGGTCGCGTAATTCGTGTAAGTGCTGAAATAGCAAAAAAATAAAAAATGGGGGAGCGGTAAGCAAAAAGGAAGATGATGGGAAAAAGCTGGTTTGCTGGCCAGCAGACGACTGTTTACAGCTTTCAGCTGGGTCAAAACGCAAATTTATTGCTTAATTCAGTTTCTGGCTGTTGCTGTCTGTCTGCGAAATACTTTGCATAAATTTCTCATTAAGTTATTACAGTTTGACGGGTGTGAAAAGTGTACCTACTCAATGGGGAATATTTAGAGTACGATTTTAAGCAGCAGTCAGTTACTTACAAATGAACAATGAACTCAAACTTGATTTGTCTTCCAAAGACTTGATAAAAAATATGTTTTATTCTGTATTACTATTAATAAGTTAATTAAGGAAATAATTATGCACATTTATTTATGGACGTTGACTTGCTAAGCTTAAGAACTAAATAAATAAAATGTTATATCTGCAGAGACTTTTAATGAATCAATGATTGGAATTCAAGTATCACTGTACTAATATTTTATATATATTTTGGCGGGCGTATAGCCCAAATGGATTGCCATAATCTTTAATCGGAATTTAAGTAGCTTCAATCAAAATTAATTTACATATTATTTAATTATAGTTTTCGTTGCCTGGCTCAAATATTTCAGTATGCAACCTCGCCTGCAATTTGCATAAGCTTCCATCATAATTCAGTTACATAATTGCCCGGGAAAAAATGAATTTGAATATCAAATATCAGTTTGGCAAGCATTGCGAATTGCCAAACGCTTTGAAATGCATTTCCTGTTTGGCCAAATTTTTTTGCTGCTCCTTTTTTCGATTCACTTTCGCTCATTTGGCCTGGTAAAAATTTGATGCAATTTTCACTTTCCTCTGCGCCTAAGTATGCAAATTTGTTTTTCAGCTGCCGTTTTGGGCTGTCTGCTAACGTTTTCATTATGCAGCAACGCATGCCACGCCCCTTTTCCAGCCGCCCCTCCAACTGTCAGTCAATCGGGCTGAGAAACGGACAGCCGGTTTGGGCCAAATATATAAATCACGAGGTTAGTGAGATGTGAACGAAGCGGCCGAACGTTGGACTTTCACTTGGACAGCCTTGTTTTTGATACCCCCCAACTTCCCCCCATTTTTCTGCTTTGCTGAGCCGCAGAAACTGATACGCGATCCTTCCCAAAAAAATGTGATTATTTTACCACTGCTGAGAGGCTATCGAAATTATTTACAGATCATAAGCTCTGCGAATATATAAGCGACTGAAACTTGATATGCAAAATTGTCAGTGTTGCAGTTTTCACAGTTGCAGAAGGTAGTTTTCCAGCTGCGATCGGTCGGAAAATATTATGCTTATATTAAACAAACTTAAAAAAGTGCATTAAACATTTTCTTTAAATTTTAATAAT